CTACTGAGACCCAAAAGCCTGAGGCTGCAGGGGGCAGAGTGCAGGAGGAAAAGCTCATTGCCTGGTGTAGAAGCAGGTCTGCAGCAGTTGTGCTCAGCAAGGTTCATCACATCATATTTCCCTCAAAAAGCTTGACAGATCCAGCTACAAAGCACTGTTTTCTGGCAGCGGGAGCCTTGCTGTGATGCGGCAGTGCCTTTGCTCCCACCCCTGTGGGGAGATCAACCTTGTAAAGGCTGAGGCCCTGAAAGTAGGGACACAATTCCTACTATCCCTGTAGATCTTGCTGGTGAGCGACTGGGGTTTGTCCCTGAACAAACCTCTGTCCAGTGCACCCACATCAGCCTTTCAGTCAAGTTCATTGTGTAGATTTTCCTTTTAGCTAGGATTTTTCTGCTTCCAGGGCTGATTTGGAGTGACACCCATGATTCTGTTTTGCCCTTTGTTCTCAGCTGTTTATTGTCCTGCCTCGTAACTCCACATCTTCTTACACTAGCTATCCTTCACCTGCCCCACAAACCCCAAGTGAGAGCTTCATCACTGGCTCACTAGAGCACTCTCTCCTCAGCATGTCTCCTGCCTTGCTCTGTTTCTGGGAGCATGGGCTCTCCTCTGCCATCAGCTTGGCCCCTGCAGTGCCTGGGCTCTGTGTAGTGCTGCTCGTTGAGCTTACTGCTGACTCCTTGCTTGGGGGACAGGGTGGGATCAGGGATGTGGTAGCATGACTTAATTATGCACTTTCAGCCAATGCTCTGACTTTCTGCGTTTGTTTCTATCACACAAGTGTTCTGTGGTTTTGTTTCCTATGTTTATTTTTTAATGAAAATATAAAGAATAAAATATTTCCTGAGCCAGTGGGAATTTAGCTTCTGTTCTCTACCTTCAAGACATCTGTCTAACTACTGTGTGGAGGATATGTACAAACACCGTGTTAAACCAGGCAGCCACCATCAGCTGTGCCTCTGCCCTGCAGCTTCAGTGTGGTAGTAAAAACCAACTGCTCCATCTGTTGAGATCCACGGCACAAAAACCTGTCGGGCCTGGAGGACTTGCTAACTGGGGGTGAATTTCTTGCAAGATCTGCTTGAGAAGACTGTGGCAGCAGAGATGAGGAAAAGGCTGTGATAATACTGTTATAATAGAGCCCACAGCTGCAAAAAATAACAGCTCCTTTGTCCACCATGGAAATGTGGGATGAATGGAGCCCAATATTAATTCATCTGTCAATGGTGAAGCTACAAAATACACCTTCTGCTGATTTCAAGGCAAACTGCAGCATCCTGCCCCAGCAGCCTTTGATGACTGAATGCCCTCCCCACTGCCTGATCCCCTAGTAAACACCTCGCCCATTAGTCTAGATTTTAAATAGCCTCTCCTGACACATCTCCCTCAGGATGAATTTCTCTGTCACTCTTTAGCCAGTGAGAAGTAAGTAAGGAACCAAACAGGTAAAAGGCCCCATTTGGGAGAGTGCAGTGTTCACAAGCACTCACTGATTTCGTATGTGGATCTGCCGTACCCTGTGTACCTCTGACACCTGCAGGGAGACAGACACATAGAGGGGGAGTTTCCAGGCTCCAGTACTGAACCTGGAGCTGTCAGTAGCTCCTCTCCCTTCCCTGACCAGCCCTGCTCTTCTGCAAAGGCCTCAGGTGGGATTCAGCTCCAGAAGTGGCTAGTGCTGAAAAAAACCATGTTGGGTGTGTGGTTCTGCTGAAGCTCCGCAGACTGAAGTGCCAGCATTGGAAGTGGGTCACAGCAGGACATGAGACGCCATTACCGCCTTTCTGGGACAAGATGTACTGAAGGGTTTGAAGGGGAACTGGCATTTCCAGCTAGATAATGAACAATATAAATCTTCCAAATGGTCTGCATCTGTGCATAGCTGGAGATGAGAAAACTTACAGGCTACTGTTGAAGGTAAAACAAAGGGTCAAAATGTTCTGCTTGAAAGAAGCTGGTATTGATTCTCACAGACCAGTAAGAGTGAAGCTCTGCTCCATTAATAATCTAGGAGAAAATGCTAAAATGCAGAATTTTTGACACCAGACAGCTCACACCCAAGAACGTTATGAATTGGCTAAAGACCCCTTTGTGTTGGTAGGGTTTTTTTCTTTCTTGAGAAGTTCCAGAGGACCATAACAAAGACAAGCACCACACCAGCAACCAGCCCTGAACAACCAGCCCAGCTCAGCACGGCCTTGCCTGGCAGCAGTTGTGGACCACAGGCTGGGAGGTGGCAGTGTAGTGTTGTGCCACTCAACAGGGTTTTTATGGACAATGGATCTTGCCAGGAAAGCTTCATCACAAGTTAATTTGACTAGCAGGTGGTATCGAGGTAAGTGTTGATGCAACACTGTTAGCTTTTGACTTGCAACCTGCAAGGACTTCACCCAGGCCAGGCAGAGGGCTTACTTTCCTCTACCCACCCCATCTGACCAGGATCTTGCTCCTTACTGATTGTGTTACCGTCTAAATTAGTATGTGCACACTTAATACAATCCAGCTGAAGCCCTACAAACGTGTTACTTCATGGCATGCTATAATCAGATCAGGGAGGCAAGGGCCTCCTCCACTGGAACCTCCTGCACACAGCAAATGTGTGGGCAAGAGCAGTGCTTCCCTTGGCTGGTCACAGGAGGCAGGAGAAGTGGCCCCTTGAGAGGCTCTGAAGTTCTGGAGGGGGATAAGTGAAACCAAACTCTCACTGCTCTCAGGCCTGCCTGGCTCTCAGGACACAGTGCCATGCCTGAGCAGGGGAGGAGCCAGGGCTCCTGAGCACATCACTCTGGGTAGTTTTTGTAAAAGTGGTGTTTGCACTTACACAAGAAGAAAACAAATCACAGAATCGAAGAATAATTGTGGTTGGGAGAGGCAATCTGGTGGTCTGTAGTCCTGCTCAGAATAGATCCAGTTTGGATCACATTTCTCAGGACCTTGTTCCATTGAGTAGAGAGTCTCTCCAAGCACAGGGATCCTGTGATTTCTCTGAGCCCGAGTTGCTCTGGCTGCAGAGATCTGAATGCCTGTTACCAGTTGCTGTTGGGCACCATCTGTTTCTGCAGGAAACTCCTGCACTGTGGTAGTAGGGAACTGCTGAACTGCAGGAAACCCCCTCTCTGGTGCCACAGGCACCAAACCTCACGGAAAGAGGACACATCTCAGGTGAGGGAGGATGCAGAAACTTGACAGCACAACTTCTTCTACAGATAAACCTGCTGCCTATGCCTGGTGTTTCACAGTAGTAGAGGAAAGATGAACAAAGTTGCTCAGGGCTGGAATTGGAGACAGCAGAACTGAGGACGTGTAGAAAAGTCCTCTTTGCTCCCTGCAGCGTTGCAGCACAGCCCAGCCAACCCCCTCTGTCACCCCTCTTTAGGGGAAGTCACTGTACCATAGCGAGGACAGGACCAAGTCTCAGCCCTTTCAGCTCACCTGAGCTGTGGCCGAGTCACACAGCTGTGCCAGTCACTACTGAACTGCTGCGGGTGCAGAGTCCCCACCTCAGCGCGGTTCCTCAGTGAACGGAGATATGCTGGCTCCTGCTCAGCCACCAGCCAATTTTTTTGCCTCTTTTGGGCAAATCAAGACCCTTCTGCAGTTGGTTTGCGTGACTGGCTTTTGAGCAGCAGGTGCCCCAGGGCCGTTTGCAGTGGGTGTTGCTGAGCTTCACACACCCCTTATTGCATCCACTCCCCTCTCAGCTCCGTGAGCCCCGCTCTGGCTCCCTTGCACGCACCCAGAGATGGCTTGGGAGCTCCGATGCCCCATGCCCTGTTTCTGCCTTACAAACACCAACCTGATTCACAGGACTGTGGGGTTTTTGTCTACCAGTCACATTCACCTTCCAGCTCGTGGCAGGGAGCAGAGCTGGATGACAATGTGGCATCCAAGACTACAATGGCTTGGGCTGGAGCCTGAAGTGAGCAGCTGGATTGCTGATGAAATCCTCTATGTTTATTTAGTACCTTGAACATCAGTTCCCATTTCTGGCAGCTCCCGAGAGTTTTTGGGAACAGCCAGTTGGGAGACAGGGAGGTAGCAGGAGGATGGTGCATATTTACAGTAAACAGTCAGGAAAAAGCAAGAATCAGTGCTCTTCTGGGATCTGTTTTACCCCCTAAAGAAGCAGTGGCTACAATCAACAGGCCTGTTTCAATCCTGCCAACAGTGGGCCGCTAGCCGCAGGTCCCAAGATCAGCACAAAGCCACAGTGCCTCAAAGATGCTCAGTGAAGAGCAAGCCCAACGGAGTCACTTGGGCCCCAGGACCTCATCTCCAGCACTGCTGCCTGTAAGCACCAACACAGCCTCCTGCTTTTCCCAGGCTCTTCAGGGTCAGGCTGAATTCTGCTTTCCTCTCTGGAAAACATTTTGCTCCAGATGTCAGCACCTTGCCCCTTTCAGTGCACTCTTCCCCTATCCTTCCCTGTTTTTGAGGGGGCTCTCTCTGTGCCAAGCAGCTAAGTGACCTGCCGTGTGCGCAGCCCAGGCTCTCAGAAATGCTGACGCAATTGCTACATGCAAAATACGTGCAGTAGCTTTGCAGGGAGACAATTTCCCTTTGTCCAGCATCAGCTGAGCTCCGCTTTCTCCGGAACAGAAGTCCAGCGCCTCCAGACTCCCATGCCCGGGAAGCGACTGCCCCCGAGGGGCCCCGCAGGCAGGCAGGCAGGCTGTTGCTGCCAGCTGTTCACGACCAGCTTGTGACACAGCCCGGTGTCGCGCAGGGCTCCTCACGCCGCACTGGCGCTCGGCCTGTGCTGCCCTCCCATCCGCAGAGCGGGGACGGGAGGTTCTGTCAGGCCCCCGCCCCGGC